TTTAATTTCTATAAGTGTGTGCTTTATTTTATACTTTAAAATTGAAACCTATTTAAAGGCAAAAAATGTTTACAATACCAAGAAAAGAAAAAATTTAGGTTAAGAAAGTGATAATATTATTATCATTTATTTGAAGTATTAATGTCAATAATTTATTATTCAATTTATTTGTCATGTGTTGCAAATGACGTACTAAATATATCCGTCTGGCTGACATTTTAACTGAGGCTTATTTTGGGGGTAGAGCTTACATTATGAGATTTCTGAAAAACAATGCTATGGCATAATTTTCAGTTAGGTCTTATTTTGGGGAAAATATGGTAGAAGTGCCCCCTTAGCCTTGCCAGCATTTATTATTTGATTTCTTGACAATAACCATTCTTTCTAGAGTAAGATGGAATCTCAGTGTTATTTTAATTTACATTTCTGTAAAGGACAGACATGTTGACCATTTTTCATGCATTTATTGATCATTTGTATTTCTCTTAAAAAGTAACTATTTGTTACAGGTGCTCACTTTTTGATTGGGTCTTTTATTTTGGGGGGCCCATTTTTTGAGTTATTCATATAGTCTAGATATTAGTCCTCACTGGTAGAAACAGCTAGTAAAATTTTTTCCACTTCTGTAGCTTATTTCTTCACTCTGTTGGTTGTTTCCTTTGCTGTCCAGAAGATTTTTAATTTGATATGATCCTATTTGTTGATTCCTGCTGTTATTTCTTATGCAATTGGAGTTCTGTTCAGAAAGTCTTTGCCTACACCCATGACCTCAAGAGTTTTGAGAACCTGCCTTCCAGTAGGTTCATTGTTTCTGTTTTAATATTTATATCTTTGATCCAGCTTGATTTTAGTTTAGTACATGATGAAACATATGGGTCTAGATTCAGTCTTCTATATGTGTATAGCCAGTTTTTCCAGCACCATTTGTCAAAAAGGCTATCTTTCCTCCAACATATCTTTCTGACACTTTGTCAAAGATCAGATGGTTGAATGTGCCTGAGTTTGTTTCTGCATCCTCTATTCTGTTCTACTGATTTATATCTGTTTCTATGCCAGTACAATGATGTATTAGGGTTTTCATCATGAATGGATGTTTGATTTTGTCAAAAGCTTTTCCTGCATCTATTGAGATGATCATGTGATTTTTGTCCTTGCTTCTGTTTATGTGCTGTATTACATTTATTAATTTATGTATGTGGAACCATTTGCATCCCTAGGATGAGCCTACTTGAACATGATGTATGATCTTTTCAGGATTTATTTTTTTTCCCGTTGTCCAATTATAAGTTTATTGGTACATTTTCGGTATAAAATACAGTTACATTCGTCATTGGGATCTTGTACCTTTACATGAGTATCTTGGTTCTTATTTGTTTCCTCTTCCCTTGCCCTCCCTTTACCCCCTCCACCCCTCCCTATTTGCAAAGACCTTGTTTCCATTTTTTTTTCCTCTTCTCATATTTTTTTCCTTTCCCTTTTTTCCCTTCCCCTACCC